CTTGCTACTTGCCTGCCTCTCTGTTTCTCCTCATTCTTCTCTGCTTCTCTCTGTGTCCCTACCGCCCACCCCCCTTCACAGACAGACACATGCTCTTGTTTCTAAATGCCTGGAACTTCTGATAGCTTCTCGAACCCCATAGCTTTACTTTACTCCACATCTTAGTTCATGAGTTTCCACCTGCTTGGAATGCCACTACCTTCCTCTGGTGAATTTATCCTTTAAGAACCGCCTCCAGGTAATTTGGGGCAAATGTCTCTTAGCAGTGTTTCTGCCATTCTCTCTGCTCTCCAGCAACAGAGCATGTCTTACACTGGATTGAACTGTGTACTTGATCCCCATGAGACTGTAAACTTTCTGAAGGTAGGACTACAACCCTCTGTCTCACTGCTGTAGCCCCGCAGTACCAGGCACAGAGTAGACTAGATATGTATCTAGTGGATGACTGAGGTAGACCCAGAGGCTGGGATTTCTGATGCCCACTGAGCTCTCGTCCATGAATATAACAGCTTCTCAATTGGGAAAAACACAAAAGCAATAAAGTTTTTGTGCAGTACAGTTTTCTGAATACTGGGGGTGGTTTTCATGTGGGAAGCAGTCTGAGCCACCCTGAAAACTCACAAACTATTAACCACAGTCCTGAAGCCTGCCAGTTTCCATGGCTTCTTTTAGCAAAGAGAAGCACTTCTTGATCCAGGCATGCTCTTTACCCAGTGATAGCATCCTTTATTGTGACAGATGCCTCGAAGCTTCTTCGGAAAGCAAGTCACTCCTGCTTCCTGCAATGTCTACATGCACCCGTCATTCTCGGCTGCTCTGCTCTCGAATCACAGAATGGCTCAACAAGAAGGGTCTGTGAAGACCATCTTGTCCAACACTGTCATTCTAGTCTCAGTTGACATAGGACAGAGCACTGAAATGCTGAAAGGCCCCCAGGGGGTGAGCAGAACATTGCATTTTTGAACCAAGCTTTTGTGTATTATCTTACCTTGTTGCCAGCACAACCTTATGAGGTAGGAACCACTATGAACTCATTTGTACAAATGAGGGAGGTGAGGCTTAAAGGTAAGTGGCCTGTCCAGAGTCACAAAGCAGCCAGAATACCTCATGTTCTATTATCCCCATCCACTATTCCAAATCACTGCATTCTAGTTGGAATACATATCAGTTCCTGGACTCCCTAGAGCAGGTGATTTTGGACCTTCATTACCAATCTAACCCCTGGGTTTCATTTGCTGCATCTTATTCTTTCTCTCACTGTTTGACAGTAGAGCAAGGCTAGAGATTGTCGTACTCACTCTCAGTGTACTGCCCTGGGAGACGTGTCATCGGGAAGCCTAGAGTATGAAATTGGTCATGAGTGAGCAGCATATGTGGACAGCTTTGAAAAGACCTTAGTCCTAAATCCTACTGACTCTACACCCCTATCCCACTTGAAACCTAACCAGGTCCTTAGAAAAGTCAGGGAAGTACAACTTGTACCCTTTTTCAGTAGTCAGTGCTCTGGCCAAAGTTTCATCTCATTGCAAATCATCACAAACATGTTTTCATTGACTAAATGTGAGAGCTTGTGCAAGTGGCTTATCTTCACCGTGTCTCATTTTGTCACCTATAAAATAGAATGACAAGAGTCCTTCCTTCAAATGGCTGTTGTGAGTTTTAGACAAATAGCTTGGGTAATGTCCTCCTTAGAGTGACTCTCAGGGAAGGTCAGCTAACCTTGTACTTAACACACATGAGAATCAGGAGAAAACTTCTCCTGCTCTCTTCTCTGAAGGCATGCTAACACCTGAATGGAAGTGCTGCAGCGAACGAATCCCTTCAGATGCCATAAAGGGAGGCTAGAGACAGGATTCCTTCTCTCTCTTTTTTTTTAAAGATCTTTCATTCTCTCTTTCTTTTAGAGACTGAGAGAGAGAGAGAGCAGGTGGAGGGAGAGAGACAAGCAGACTCCATGCTGAGCACAGAGCTTAACAAGGGGCTTGATCCCACGGTCCTGTGATCACGACCTGAGCCGAAATCAAGAGTCGGGCACTTAACCAACTGTACCACCCAGGCGCCCCAGACAGGATTCTCCAGCACTGTGTGAGGCTGAGCACAGAGGGCTTGCATCATGGCCATATTAAAGGCTGCTCCTGCTTCTATTTAAAGAAATCCTCCTGGGGAGGCTATATGAAAAAGCACCCGCTCTTCAACCTCTTCCCTGTTGGCTGTGTATGCGTAGTCAGGACTCCTTGGCAGTGAACACAATCCATGAGTCACACTGAGAGGCCAGTGACTGAAGAACTATTCTCTTCAGTGTCATGCCTACCACACCATAATTCCACTTTGCACTCCCTACTTTATGTGCTGGAAGCTTCTGGAAAGTAACTCCTTATTGAGAGTACTAGAAATGTGTGTCACGGTTATTGCAGTTGTCCATACTACTGGTGCAGTGTGCTTCTATTCTCTTCCAGCTTGGTAGAAAATGAGTAGTGAATGTTAAAAGCATTAGCTTCACCCACCTATTCTACCTTTCCATACAAGTGACCACTGCTACAGGTGCTCATGAGGACCTCCAGCAAGAAGGAAAGAAAAACTAACATTCATCATCATCATCATCATCATCATTACTTTTGACTGCCATTTATTAAGTATCAGATCCTTTACAATGACTGTCTCCATTTTGTGGGTGGAGAAATCAAGGCTTAGAACAATTAGATTATTTGGCCAAGTTCACACACTGCTAAATGACAAAGAGGTGGGATTCCTAGTGTGATAGGCAGCTTCTAAGATGGCTCCCAAATATCTTTGCTTTCTAGCATTCACTCCCCTGTGTAATCCCTTCCCTTTGGGTGTGGGCTAGATTTAGTGACTTGCTTCTAGCAATAACATAGAACGTCATAGAGGTGATGGGATATCACTCTCAGGATTTGGTCACAAAAAGACCGTGTCTTCCGACATGGCTGCCCTGTCTTACTTGCACATCCTGAGGGAAGCCAGTTACCATGTTGTGAGGGGCACTATGGAATGAATGTTTCTGGTTTGCAGACACCAAGGACCTAAATCTGCTAACAGTCTCAGGAGTGAGCTGACAGTTGAGTCTTGAGATGAATACAATCCCAGCTGACATCTTGATTACAGCTTTGTGAGAGACATTGATCCAGAGGCACCCAGCAAAGACACACCAGATTCCTAAACCATGGAAACTATGGGATAAAAAATGTTTTTTTAAACTGCCGCATTTTGGGGCAACTGGTTACATGACACCATTTAACTAATACACCGATTCCATTTGGTTGACTATAGCCTGGGTGTTGGGTTCTTTCTACATTTCACAGTAACCTTGGGACACTCGCCTTTACTTTATAATGCTGCAAGTCAATGATCTGGGAACCTCATCTCAATGATGGTCCACTGTGGGATATAATGCAACAAGACTAGGGGCTGGGAAGGTGAGAAGAAAGAGCAGAAAGAAGTTGGTTATAAAATTCCAAAGATTGACCTTTCTACTCTCCACCATTGCTGAGCTCTGAGGGGAAGGTCAAAAATTGAGAAGTGATGAGTCTACAAAGTATTGGAGCTCAGGAGTCTCCATTTCATTGCCCTTAGTGTGGCATATGGAAGGTGCTGCATGATCTGGCCAACACTGCCTGCCTAACAATAACAAGCATCCCATACTCCCATAGACCTCAGTGCTTTACCTACACAGCACCTTCCACCAGGACTGTTATCGTCTCCCATCACCCTTTTTTCCTTCCTTCCCACATCCATAATCTTTCTGGTGAACTCCTACATATACTTCAAAACCCAGTTCAAAGACCATTTCTTTCAGTAAGTCCTTACTGACATCTGGTGATCTGCCCCCACCCCAGGATCTCAGGCTGGGTTAGAGGAGCCACCTATGGCCTCCCATAAAACCAAATATTTCTTCTAATGTAATATGCATCACACTATTATAATTTCCTATATGGATGTCTTTCTTCCCTATTAACTGAGTGCCTGGAGGGCAGAGCCTATGGCATGTATATCTGTATCCCAAATGCACACTGGAGGGGGTCAAAAATATTTTTGAAATGAATAAATAAATGTGAGGGGAGACCATGGGAGGCAAAGCAACCCCATGTAGGAAGACTGAATGCTTTGCCCCTAAGATGTGGCCGCACAAAGAGGCTCGATGCTCTGGCCCTTTCAGTGAGTTAATACACATCCCACTGAGGGGTGGGAGAAGCTGCCTTCTGAAGCCTGGCCTGACCACCCAGCTACTGCAGGCATGGAGGGCCAAGAAGCTCAAGTGAAATGAACCAGCCATTTACGAGTTGATCTGCTCCTTCTCAGTGTGTACACCCCTAGGGAAACACATCCTGATCTGTGCATGGGTAATAAAACCCCAGAGAAGACGAGAAAGGTTCCTGAATGGGCCAGAAAGTCCCTGAGCTTTGGGTTAAACACCAGGAAATGAAAAGCAGTTCTGTTTCAAGTGTTTTGGGTTTAGTGAAATTGGATGATGCATCTTGCCTAGCACCTCTTCCCCTGACTTCTAAACCCTCATAAACTCTGTGAATCAGAAACATACCAGTTGCATGCTTCTGACTCAACTCATCAAAATGTTGTTTTGTAAGGATTATGTGAGTTCCAGAGAGCCCTTGAAAAATGGCATTCCTTTTTATTATTATTTATTTATGTGACAGAGAGCGAGAGACAGCGAGAGAGGAAACACAAGCAGGGGGAGTGGGAGACGGAGAAGCAGGCTTCCCGCGGAGCAGGGAGCCCGATGCGGGGCTCGATCCCAGGACCCTGGGATCATGACCTGAGCCGAAGGCAGACGCTTAACGACTGAGCCACCCAGGCGCCCCGAAAAATGGCATTCCTTTATCTCATGCCTCTAAAGCTCCAAATAGTCCCGCAGACATGGGAGGGTGCCATATGACGTAGAATCTCTCCAGAATCTCACCATGCCTTTGGCTCCTATGGGAGCCCTGGCCCAAAGTACTTGATTCTACCCCAAACTGAGAGCCAGTGAGTTTGCCTCAGATCAGTTCACCATGCTCTGTCTTCTTAATGATTTTAGGACAAGAAAAATAATTCTTGGGAAGGCCTTTCTCAACTTTCTGACTTGATAAAATGCTCCTCAACCTTCAGTAAGTCTAATCTTTTTTACCACACCCCCCACCACCACCATTAGAGAAAACCTGTCTTACGTGTGGTTAGCCATGTCTTTGTCCTTTTAAACAATCAGCACTTATAGGGAAATAGGGAATGGATTTCAGCCCCTGGATTCAGTTCAAAGAATTAGGGCCTGAGTGCTGTGTTGGGAAAGAATATGGAGCTAGTACAGGATGCCTTGTATTAAGCATCAATTAAAAGAGTATCAAGACTGATTTCTGATGTCTGCTTTGTTTGGACACAGGTGGAACAAGTGATGGGATGCAAGCTATGTATTCGCTATCCATGGATTGTGCTAGAAGGCAGTCAGACCCTTACCTTAAGGGCTACTGAAAGGTATGTGGGGAAGTTTATATCTATACCAAGCCACTGTGGCATTTATGCTTTTGAGTTCTTGTGTTGGGAGGGGAAGGAAAGGGAAGAAATCAATTCTGTGTCTTCTTTTTTATGCCATCACTTGACTCTTTTGTGTTGGATTGCCCTTGGTAGCAACCCCACTCTCTTTTATTTGCGGTTTCTAATCTCCCCCATTAATTAGAAAACCAGGTAACCAAGCCTTCTGAAAATGTGTACAAAGAATAAATACAGTTTCAAATCAGGGCTCACGGACTCCAGTATGAGTGAAATATAAGAGCTTTGCTGCATGGGATTTACCCTTTTGGGGGAGGGAGGGCTTTGGTGATTTTTTTTTTTATCCTAGTTTCTCAGACATGTTCCATACAAGCAGAGGCTCGCACTGAGAATGGTCCCTAAAGACTAGAAGAAGCATGATCATATAGGTGGTTAGCCATCTAGAACTTTTGCAGAGTTTACGATTATTTTATAGGTGGGCAGATGTAGCATAAAATACCATCACAAGTTACTAAAGCCACAGTTGAGTTACGTGGAGGGTCAAATCCAGAAAGTCATGATTATGTCATCCCCATTTCACAGATGAGAACACCGAGGCCCAGGGAGCTAAAGAAGGCAGCTTAGGGTCATGCCCAAGGCAGAGCCAAGATTCCAGTTTGCCTGTGTCCCTGGGGAATGTCACACCAAGGTAGACAAACCTGTATCCTTCTCTGCTGCCCCAGCCTGCCTACACTTGTTTCTCTTCTCCTAAAGTCATCAGACCAAAGAAACTGGAACCCCGGGGTGCCCAGAGATCACACTTAAAAGGCACAAGGCCGAAGGCAGCCGACCCTGGTATCAGTCTGCTGCGGGAGACTACAGGAATGTTGTGTTTCTGATAGGGCTCTGATTATTTAGGAGGCAAGCTGATCCCCAGACAGTAAGATTCTGTAATTTACCTGAAGATCTTTCCTGCTGTATGACAACTTCTATTTATGTACTTTGTTTTCATCTCTGCATCTTTATTCTTTGAGGTTAATAAGAAGAATCATGTTATTACAGCAAATCCACTTACACTTGGACAAGGGAGTGCAGGGGGGAGGGGAGAAGAGGGGGCAGTCTGAGTTGGTGAGAAACCTAAGCCATATAATGATTTTAGAGAGATGACATGTTTTTTAAATTTATAATTTATCTGCCAGCTAAAACAAGAAGAACAAAAAGCTCCAAAGCAGCTTGGTGTATTAGAGCTCATATACGTCAAAGCAGTTCAAACAGGATTTGCACAAAGGAGAGCTTAGAAGCCATTTAGAAGGAAAAGCAATATAATTGCCCTAAGACTTTAGGAAGCACTATCTGCACAGCATTCAAGTTTACTCTGCAATTTGCACTCCCTGATAACAAAGAATTTCCAGATAGAAGTCGGGTTGGATCTGCTTTAATTGAAATCGGAAACCCCCATCTGATTGCAAGCAATTTCCGTGCTAAGATTCCTCAAAATCATTTTGCTGTAGGAAAACAAAAGCTCGTATTGTCCTGTGGTAGTATATCACTGGCTTTGGAAACATTTTCCTCAGCCCAGCCCAGCCCAGCCCAGCCCAGGTAAAATATTCACAGAGTCTACATTTGTGGAGGCTAAATGAATGAGGTTTTAGTCACAAAAACCCGGGTTGTTTTTCTCAACCTCACATAAGGAATCCCAATTCTTTGTGAGAAAGGTTTGAATGCTCTAAGGAAATCTTTTCCTGGGCTGCTATTTTTTTTCTGCATCCCCTTTCCTTATAGAGAGGGTGGCTTTTCAAAGAGGGCTGGTACTCACGGAAGCAACTATGTGGGTGCTTAAATGATACACTGTGACGTTTTATTCATGAATTCCACAAATATTTCTGGAGTGCCTACTCTCTGGCAGGTGCGGCGCTGGCTACATGATCGAGGGAAGGTCCCCATCTGTCCTGGGGGAGTTTAAAATCTACTCAACAATAAGCAGATGATTGCACACATGAATGTATAGTAACAAATTGTGATAAAAAGAAGCCTGGATGCTCAGTGAGAGTATAATGGAGTGGGGGGAGGACTCAGTTAAGATAGGGGCATTAGGACAGGCTGTGGAAGGAAGTCTGAGAATAAGACAGTGGGGACACGGGCATAAGAAGGAATTATTCTTCAGTGTCTTAATTGTGGAGCTTTCTTCTTCCATTCTCCTACTGAGAGTTGGCCAAGATGTAGTAGCCAAGGCCGATGTTGAGATAAAAATTGAACTAGCCAGGCCCAGGCGCCTGAGTGGCTCAGTCGTTAAGCGTCTGCCTTTGGCTCAGGTCATGATCCCAGGGTCCTGGGATCGAGCCCCACATCGGGCTTCCTGCTCCACGGGAAGCCTGCTTCTCCGTCTCCCACTCCCCCTGCTTGTGTTCCCTCTCTGTCAAATAAATAAAATCTTAAAAAAAAAAAAATGAACTAGCCGTGCCCTCTGTCAAAGGAGAGGATGCTGAGCATGCTAGGTTCTGGACCCGGGTGCCAGGGTTCACATCCTGACTGCTACTTACTGGCTACATACCTTGGGCAAGTGACTTCACCAATCTCTGCTTCCTTGCCTCTTTTTAAAAATGGAATGTTAACAGCATTCACCTCATTGGATTATAGGGTTCTAAGGATTCCATAACTTATTATGCATGAAGTGTTTAAAATAGTCCCTGGTGTGTGTGTGTGTGTGTGTGTGTGTGTTTGCAAATATAAATGGAGTTTGTAACCTCCGGGGAAGGAATAGTTACATATCTAATCATAACCTAACTGAGGGAAAGGGCTTTATGACCCAAGCATCATGAGAGCGCAAAGGAGGGAACAATGGAATCTGCTAGAAAATGTATCTTAAAAGGCTCAGCATTGCAGAAAGAAACACATTAGGCCAAGCTGAGGGCTCTGTTCTTTGATTTAACATCCTTCGCTTTCATTTGCTTCATCTGTGTAATGGGTATTACAGCCTGCTGGATTGCTATAGCCAAAGGACGCTGCCACAGGAGAGTTCTCTGTGCAGGAGCACTAGGGGACCTGGAGGAAGCGCTTCACAAATACTTGCTGAATGAACGCACAAAGCGAGAGGAAAGCTCAGGAAGTCACCTTGACCCATTCAGTCAGATACAGCTCAGGCTTGCTCAGAGAGCAGGGAATCCTCGAAAAGGGAGGAATGAGTATTGTAAGCAAAACTTAAAGAATTTTCTAGATGAAAAGGAAATGGGCACAACTTAAATGATATCCAATGTGTCCATCTCTTCCTCTATTTTCAAATTGACTTTTGCAGCTTCTGTTCTGCCAACCCTTTCCACTGTACTGACAGAGTCTGTATCTTCTTTCATTTATTCATTCATTGGGCAAATATTTATCCAATGAATTACTTGTACCTGCCAAGCACTGTTTCTAGGGCATAAAGGTAGGCAGCTTACATCCCCTGCATGCAAGCTTATCATCTGGTACTCAACAGAAATCAGGGAAGATTGTTGCAATAAAACAAAAACAAGTGCTCTGTGATAGAAGTGAGCACAGGAACTTATGGGAGCAGAAGACCGTCTTCCATTTGGAATTTGCAAAATACCGTTTAAATGCTTTATTCCCTCGTGATGCAAAAGACAACAGTGAACTCAGGCTCGGCTTCTTCAACTTTGAAATAAAGTTTCAGAGAAGAGTTTGAGAGCTTTGAAAAAAAAATGGGTAACGTTTGCAGAAGGAGGAAAACAAACTAAATAAGAATTATAATCTTTACTTGGTTTCACATTTCTCCTCTTGAATAATTACATGTAGAATTAATTCTAGACAAAGTGTTTCTAACATTGTCTGGGGGAAAAAAAACTCGCAAATTTCTGTTGCCATGTGAAATAATTTAAAGGTTAAAAAGCTAATTGTGCTAAATTGGGTCTATAGAAATTTGGCATGGGCATGACTTGGCTTCAGAGAGAGCCATGAAACAAAACCCAAAGATAGGTATAACATGCTAAACACATACCTGGCAAAAACAAATCTTTTAATGAGAAAGGGATAGCAATTACGATGAAAGCAAATAAGTATAGAGGAAGCTGGAACCAAAGAATTTTTTTTCAAATGTTGAATGTAGCTCCCATTTCACTTAAATTTATTCCTTCAACGAATATGTAACCAGAGACCTAGCCATGCAACGAACAAGCAGGAGATGCGGAGCAGTGAGCAGATGGGTCTCTGCCTTCAAGGCACTCACAGTCATGCAAAACAGCCAGGGAAGACAAAGATGACAAACCTCATCCATTACCCATCTACTTCCAAACGACTTCAGAGTATCTCGCTTTGTCAGGGTGGTTAATTCCCAATTTTTCATCCATCCAACTATCTATCCATCATCTATTCATCATTTGTTAAGCAGCTACTATGTGCCACCCTGTTTTATATATTCTTGTAGCATCCCAGACTTTTTCTTTTCTTTCTTTCTTTTTTTTTTTTAGAGAGGGAGAGAGGGGGTGGAGGAGGGTCAGAGGGAGAGAGAGAATCTTAAGCAGGCTCCACCCAGTGTGGAGCCCCACATGGGGGCTCCATCTCACAACCCTGAGATCATGACCTGAGCTGAAATCAAGAGTCAGATACTTAACCCACTGAGCCACCCAGGCACCCTGCAAACTTTTCTTTTATAGTAGTTCTCTTAAGTAGAATATACTACTTCTAAGTCTTCTTATCCCTTTATTCTGTAAGGAATACAAGGTACATTGTGGGTCTGCAAATAATGATTTGTAGAATAAACAAATAGGTGAACTAATAGACTAGTAAAGCAAGAGAGGGGTAAATGGAGAATAGTAATATAGCCTGGGAAGTGCAGTAACAGAAACTCTCTAAATCGTTGATGGATTATACAAGTTTAATTGAACTATAAGACCACCTAAGTGTGTTGGGCCATTAGAGAAGCTTCAGAGATGGTCCTGACTTTAAGGAGAAGAAATATGCCACCAGGACAATATTAGAGATGTATACTCACCCCGATCCTCCCTTTGTTTCCC